AATAGTATTGAGTCAATCACAACATACAATATACTGTTAACGGTATTAATTAAATTAAAATTAACGCTAATCTTATGAATGATATAAAAGCATAGAAAACAACATTAATTAAAGTGAAAAAAGCAATAAAAGTCTCATTTCTGCGAACATTAGCCCCGAAAGTGATTGCAATCTTTTGCTCTAAAAATAGTCACATTTATTGGATCAGAAAATTGGCAGAAAATTTACACTATATTTGAGCGCAAAGTTTGCGCCGAAAAAAAATGTGCGCTTTTTTGCTAAACTTGTATTTTTTGCCCAAAAATACTCTGTTTTTCAATGAAAATGCATTTTTCATTAAAAATACAAATAAAACAAACACTTAATGTAATTACAGTTAAAATCCTTATAGTATTGGAAATACGAGTGACTGATAACGGGTAGAGATTTTGACAGTAAATCATAACAAATATTTTTATCATGATTTTAATGCCAATAACAAACAGTTTAATTCACCAAGTGTGTTTTGGAAATGTTTATATTAATTCACTTACGCACAATGTTAATAGCTGTTTACCACCAGGGTTATTCAATGGGAAAGTACTTTTATATAATTGAATTGGACCTTGATTTTAATTATGCGATTTATATTCAAAGAGAGCTCCGATTTAAATACGAGATTATTATTGAAGCTTACGATGAGTATTACACCAAACACAACCAGATCATTTACATAAAAATTATAACCACCAAGCTGAGATTTTGCACAATAGAACAAACCAATCGAGGTAAATTTTATTTATTTACTTAACAATCACAAAGTTTTTTACATTCAGTATTTTTCACTACATTTATAACACTTTAATCGATTTAAATCCACACAAAAACACATTAAAATGACTGCAAAAAAAACTTTAAATATTATTTTGAAACAAGCATTTCGTGTCATTAGAAGAGAGTATTAAATGCTATGAAAATCGAGACACAAATCCATTGCAGCGAAAATTTTAATGTGTTTTTTGTTGACATGAGTTGTGCGCAGAATCGGCGACGCGTTTGACGTCAAACCACTTGTGATTCTCGCTTCACAACAAACACAACACTATAATAATCGGTTTCGTTAAAAACACGGCATCACTTGACCGTAAATTCAGTACCTTTTCATATACACCACAAACCTATAGTACACAACAGTATACTCACTATAATAAGGGCCAACACTTTCGGCGCGCGGATAGCATTGTATGCGCTGTTGTGTAGACGTAATGCTAATTACAAGCAGTAAATCATTTGTTGTTTTTATTTGAATCAAAACTCGTTATTAAAAACACTAAAACTAATCAAATATTTCATTCATTAAATCACTTTTAATTGATTTATAAATACAATTAGTTTTAATCCCATTTACAAGACATCCGTTATGTCGACCACTGGTGTGGAGGAAGCGATTGTCACCGCAGATGAGGCCGAAGAGGTGGAGGACTACATGTCGGACACGTTTGTGCCCAAAGAGATCAAGTGAGTGATGATTACAAGAGTTTGTTTTGCCACTCATTATCACTCATAACACCATATGTTTGTCACTCACTGTATATGTATTGATGTGTTTGTCTTGTGGTCAATGTCTTCCTCCTCTCCTCCTGTCATCCGCCATGTCTTGGGAACCGTTAAAGTGATGTCCGGCCGTCGCTTCTCTATAGCCATACGTCGCGTCTAAAACACGCGGCGCTGAAGACCAAGAGCTCATCGGATCCCAAACCCAAGACATTCTATCGACAACTGGAGGAACGGCTCCGGGAGGAGGCGCTCAACACACCGCTCGACTCGTCCAACAAAGGCTACAAAATGTTGGCCAAAATGGGCTTTAATTTACCGCCGGATCCGTCGCCGACACCACCGCCACAGCCGTCGCAACCCTCGGCCGCCACGACCTCCGAGTCTACGGCCACCGTAACGACCGCTCCGGTCGTCAAACTCACGGAACCGATACGCGTAGAGCTGAAGAACGACCGCAAAGGCTTGGGTGCGGCGGCGAAGAAGCGTAGGACCGGCGCCAACGACGGGACGGACACACGGCGTCCAATCGATGACCCGCTGGTTGAGGAGCAGTTCCGGACGCACAAGAGGTCGCGTAATGTACTGTTTCTGATGTCCAAAGACTTGCGAACCGCGCAGAAAGTGTGCCGTAATCTCGACGTGGAGTCGGGCGTCGATGAGAGCGACTTTTTGGCCCAAACGGAACGACCGAAATGGTTTTGGCCGCCGATTGACCGCCAAACGGCCGCCGATGGCGGCGACGGTGTGACCGCTGAAGAGCTTAAGCCCACCGAAGAGGTGGTGGAGGCCGACGACGACGACAACGAAGAGGAGGGTTGCGTTGAACACAGGTTTAAGACGATTAACGAGTATTTGCGGCGAAAGTACTTTTACTGCATTTGGTGTGGCATTCAGTTCACCGATAGTGAGGACATGGATGCCAACTGTTCCGGTGATACCAGAGATGATCACCAATAGTGTGTCCAACTGTCGCGTCCGTCACTCTTGTTGTGTAGAGATGTTAAACACAAAACACCCGCAAAAATACGTGTATTTTGTAAAAAGTTGTTTATTTTTGTATTTATTTTGTTTATAAATATACTGTTATATTAATGTAGAATTTATTTTGTAATTTACAAATAGTGTGACTTTGAAATAGTTGTTAAAATAGGTTTAGTAACCAAATGTATTGCCACACAAAACACGGTCGGGTCTGGCCTTCGGGACAAACGGTTCCGATCGATGAAATGACTCAATCGCTGGATCTCTTTGTAATGACTTCTCTGAGCACTCGTTGTCTTACGACTCAATTTGTATTGATTTTGATGATCATTAGTGTTGACCACTCTTTGTCTGTTTGTGTCTCTATTGACACAACCATTTGTATCGATCAATAAGTGTATCAATAATTGCTATTTTATTACATAATTAATTATATTATATAATGTATTGAAAAATGTAATTATATTAATGATTATTTTAATACAAAATTGTACTAGTCTATTTTGATGTGTATTTAATTTGAGATCTCAATCCATTAGCCAAATATTATAGTCTATAACTTATTGTTATGTAATTTTTCACATTTAATGCGTTTGTATACCAAATCCAAAGTAAAAATAACTGTTTGTATAAATAATTTACAATATATTGTAACCTAGTTAAACCTTTTCATCATCAATTATTTATTATTAGATTTAACGTTTAATTTGCATATATAATTATTTTAATTGTATAAATTATGATCATTTGTTAATTGAATTAATAATTTAAACCACAAAATTAGACAATATTCATAATTTAATGTTTAGACATAAACTGTAATAAAGTGTAATCTACCATAAGTTTGGAAATGGAGGAAAACATATGCGGCATTAAAATATAATTGACCATGTTAGCAATGAATCATTGTCAATGATCATGTTATGCTACATGAATCTTAAAATAAACCCAGAATTAACAAATAATTAGAGCCACAAATGCATAGGTATTGAAACAACTCATAGCTATTCATTGGGAATAAGTCATAGCAATAGAAACCGATTTCGGGTCCGCACAACACCTCTACAAATGACATCAATTTTAGCCGATTTTTAATTGAAATTATTGGAGATTTAGATAAATATGATATTAAATGTGGTAACGGTTTGTGAGCGGACTTTGATATCCAAGTACTCATTATATTTGTATAAAAAACTATTGTAAAACATAGGATAAGAACTGATAGCCACCAAAACCTCAATACTAATCTAGTGTCCGATTTATGCATTGTATATACGGCTAATTGCATACCAATTGTTCCGATATAATAGATGAGGAAAATAGCGCACCGCATAAATACATTACAATCCCTAACCTGTTGTTCCCAATAATTGTGTTCAACAATTAATCGCATCAATAGATTTTGATTATTATATTTCATAGCAATTATCATATAATCATTCAATTGTTGAAATTTTGATTTTAAAACATGTGATATTAAAACCCACATGATAAATCCTACCCAGATGATTCCAAAACATAATATAGCAGATAGAAAGAACATTGAATTAATTATATTCATAACCAATAAACTAAAAAAAGTTGAATTTTGTCGATATAATTGGATTAATATATAAGTGTGTAATAAACCACTACTGATTGCCAAAAAGTATGTACTTTGATAAGCAATATAGTCAGCGATGAACACAAGCATTTGACCAAATTTGCTATTTCTTCTAAACAACAAAGGGTATTTGAATGTTTTACATTTAACATGTTTAAAAAATCTAATGATATGATAGCATTGCAAATATTCATGACGTAATGTTACACATGAAATGGCCAGTAGCCCGGCATACATTGCCGATGCCGCTAACGCTATCAAACGTCTATCGCCCAGATATCCACAAATATCATATATTAATAGCAATATATACTCATTGTCTACGAAGGCTGATATGATGTGCTGCAAAAGTATGACCAAAAGACATAATCTCATGATTATAGCCATCACTATATTCTTCATTTTCTGCTCTCTTCTCATATACTGAACTGAGTTTTCAAAAGTAGCAAAAAATGTATTTATAGCCAATCTTTCGTCCTTTTCTATGGTATGAATCAATTGATCGTATGATTGCTTATTGTGTTCCCAAACGCTAATCAATTCTCTAAAACATATTCTCTCCAATGCTTTCAATTCAATTGATCTGAAATAAAGGGTTAATTTATTAGAGATAACAATTTATATCTTTATTAAAAATACAATACCTCGACATATCCATGATTGTATGCAAGCAATATTATTTTTACTTTACTATTATAAATTACTGCTGGCAGTTATTTGATTCATGACTTATTAAGTTATTGAACAGAATAAAGAATATTCTATAAACGTAATCTCTAATATATTATAACATTGTATTTATTTAACTTAAATACATTGTATATGATATTTTGTTATTTGGATATAATGATATTTTTGCGTGTTTAATACTGTGAACTTGAAATAAAAATATTTGAAATACACATATGTATGTTGTCCAGTATTGTACACTGATAACATTGTTCATTATTTTAATATGGCACATTTGTTAATAAAGATAGTATTGCGATGTCGTTGATTGCATGACATATTGTCAAGTGCTTTGCTAATCGATTCCTTGAGAAAACTGCGATTCCGTGAGTCAATGGCAACACTATTTCCAATATTTAAAATCGTAAACCAATAATCATTAATTGATATCAAATAAAAATGACCTAAAAATACATTGTTTTGTGATTGACTTATACCAAACACGACAAATAGTAATTAATTATTTAAATTTATTTGAATTATGCAATTTGAGATTATTGAAATCATACGCAAACTATTAGTAAATCTATAAAATTATAATATTTAACTATAAGGAAAGGATTAAGCTAACAAGCTGCAAGAAACTGTAGCATAAATTGGGGGAGGGATGAGTAAAACAAACATAGACCTTATACGATTCTATGGTCTGTTAAGCCTTGACATGAAAATGAATGTAATTTCTGTAATAATTACATTTAATTGCGCAGAAATTATATTCATTTTCACAGATATTACATTCAATTGTATGTAATGTGGATTCTCGGTGTCAGTTGTTTATCAATTTAATTGTTTATATAAAATGCTAAATGATTACATACTATACACCGAATGTGCATTTAATCGACACTAATTAATCCGGTTCTAAAGTCTAACCAATAAAACTAACTCATATAACGCGCATACTATCTACAAATTAAATATCTATTATTAGATAATAAAGTATAATATTTAAAAGTACGCCAATCATTAGCCACATAAAGTTTAGATTAATTAAGAGTAGAGTGGAATAGATTGATTATACTTATAGATAAAGCACCACCTTTGTAATCATGATAAAATAAACTCATTAGTATAAAAACAAATAAAAAACATTAGCCAAGCAATTAAATATAAAGACTAAATAAAACTAACATGTTCATTAATAAACTACTACTTGTATTAATTATATCGCCATTCGTGGCGGCGCTCACCGGCAAAGAGTTGCTGGACTTTGCGGTCAAACAGTACACCAAAGCCGTACACGAGATCAAGACGGGTGTGCGCTGTCCGTCCATCGGTAGGCCTACGGCCACGGCGTGGGACACACTTCCGGTGGTGACCAGCGATTTTCGGGTCGGTTTCTATCCGGGAATTCTCTGGTATTTATACGAGTATACGAACGATAAGACGTGGAAAGAGTTGGCCATTACGGCCACCGAAGCCGAGGCCGACATTCAGTACATTAACCGCACACACGATATCGGCTTTGATATCATGGGCTCCTTTGGTAACGGCTATCGGCTCACAAAGAATGAGAAATATAGTAAAGTGATTGTCACCGCAGCCAACACTCTGGCCACGAGATTTAATCGTAAGTACAATTAAATGATCATGTTACAATAGTTATAATACGTTAAAAATTGTGCAACATGCAGTATATAACTATTTATAAAATTGATAACAGTAAATCAATTGCAAAAAGTATTGTCTTTTAAATTTAATTATAAACATTTAATTACTTTATAAATATTGCATGTGCCACTAACCATGGTCCATAGCAAAGGTTGGGTGCACGCGCTCGTGGAACAGCAAAAAGCCGGATCAATTCATTGTGATCGCCGACAATATGATGAATCTGGAGCTACTGTTTGAGGGCTCGCGACTGTCCGGCAATAAAACCCTATACGATATGGCGGTTTCGCACACCAACGTCACCATCAGAGAGCACTTACGGGCCGACTATAGCCACTATCAGGTGGTGATGTTCAACGAGACCAGTGGTCACGTGATGAAGAAGTATACGGTCGACGGTTACGCCGACCACTCGTGTTGGTCTCAGGCGCAGGGATGGCTGGTGTCCGGCCTGACCACCGCCTACCGGTACACACGCGCTGAGTATATACTACGGGCGGCCGAAGGGGTGGCCAAGTATTTCATCGACAAATCGCCGGCCGATGGCATACCGTATTGGGATTACGACGTTCCCCACGACTCTAACCACACGTATATACCGCGCGACTCGTCCGCCGCGGCCACCGCCGCCTCCGGTCTCATCGAGTTGTATGAGTTCACCAAAAATGACAAGTATTTGATTGGATTCAAGAGAATTATGGAGTCGTTGAATGGCGACAGATATCGGGCGGACGCCAAACCCGAGTACAAAATACCGGCCCTTTTCCTAAACGGCACCACAAGTTTCAAAAAGTCTATTTACGACACGGCTATGATTTTTGGTGATTACTATTATGTGAAGTCATTTAAGTATTATTTGGATTTATAAAATATATTATACTTTTGCAGTTGTGATAAATATAACTTTATGTAATGTATTGATAAAAGTAATAAAATTTATTGAAAGATAAAATAATTAATACAGTGGACTCTAAATACAAAGGTATGCCCATTGGTGTGATAGCGGGCAATTGGGAATTATTGTTATAAAATGAAAGTACATTCAATAAATAGTTGAGTGCTATACTTTATATGTCCGAACTCCCTCGGGCCTGG